AAACATTAGGTACTATGTCATAAAATAAATTAAAATGCAGAGATTGAAAGAAGCAAACCAATTAATTTTAGCAGCTGGAGGCAAATTAACACCTTTTTATTTAACTGTAAACATGTAATTCAAGAAAAATTTTTTGAATAAAGCTAAGCAGATTATATAGATTGAAGTCCTAAGCCCATAAGGAGGAGCACTGGAAGGAGTCCGCCCTGGACTCGTTAGAAATAGGAAGTAAAGGGACTGGGGAGTTAGCTCAGCAGCAGAGCACCTGTCTGGCAAGTGCGAGGTCATGAGTTTGATTTCTTTATCATTTTAAAAAAAGGCAAGTAACATTTTCTGGAGCTAACAGAAGAAAATTAAAATTTAGTTTAGAGGATGATTATCACAGGAAGATATAACTGAAAGGATTTCTTCACCCTAGATACACTATTAAAGCAGTGGGTGGTGGGACCAAGGGATGTTTACCTTGAGGTCACTTTCCCTTCCCCTATGACAGCTTACCTGTGGTTTGAATAAAGTTCCAATCAGCTGTTTGTGCATCAGCAATGCCATCCTAAGCACCACCTCAGTTGGGAACTATATGTATGTCCTCCACCCCACGTTTCCAGCAGAGAAAGCCAGGCCCTGGTGGCCATGGAGTTCTCTCCACGTTCTTAGAATAAAGGCCATTTTTAACTTTATATTCTCCCTTTATCACACAAAAACCCCTATCAATAACCAATAAATATTTATAGATAATAGTTAAGAACCAATATGTTTGAATTTTTATGACAATTTTTGTAGTAAAAAAAAAAAAAGTAAATATTTCTTGCACTTCATTCTCTATTGTGAGGCAATATTTAGCAGTCAACTTTTTCATCTCCCTTCCCTTGATTACTGGTGTCCCACCACCAATTCTGTCTCCTTCCTACCTCTTTTTCTTCCTCGACCACCATCTTTTGATTCCACTTTCTTATTGAAATTGTTTCCAGAGCACTTCAAAATGTTGAATTTCAGAACTATTCAATATGCATGCTAGCAAGAACTCAAATATCTTTTAATAGTAATTCTTTTATACTCAATGTTGTTTAATCAAATAATAGATTCACAAACTTAGTTCCTAGAATATGATTTTTAATAAAAATTAATTTCATTCTTTAGCATCACCTTCACTATGCAGACTAATGTACTGGCATAAAGGCCCTTCTCAGTTTTAATTTTTCACACATTATGCTCCAAATAGTAAACAAATTATTTAAGCTTATGTCCCTGAATCAGATTCACTGTTTTTTATATTTAAATTTTGTCCTAATGAACTTTCCTAACACTATTCAGTATTATAGTTTAGTTTGTAATGGAAAAAATGGACTGGATATAGCAGATTAGGTTCTAGTTCCATTATGGCTACTAATGACTCTTGAACATGAAAACTCACCAAACCTGCCTGAATATTAGTTTTATACCTCAAATAGGAAAATAGTGTAAAAAGCCTCTAGCTTGCTTCCCAATAGTCTGGAATCTTTCGCTGACAACAATCTCCTTTGAAGAAATTTTTACACCACAGTGTATGGGTAGTTTTAGTTAAACCCTTTTCCTATGCACTTTTCCTTCTGAGTAAGTAAATCCAAAGTATGAAGCATAATCCAGGGGAGAAGAAGGGTAGACTGTATAAATTAAAAAGATTCATAAATCAAAGGAATGAATAATAAATAAAAAATGAAACAATCATTTTTCCATTCAAAAATATTGTACAATGAATGTGCAGAGTATTGCCTATGGGATATGGAATGCAAGATTGACTAAACAAATAGAAGAGAGAATGTGTGTTATTTGTAGAAACTTTTTCCATATTGGAAAGTATAACTTTACTTAAGAATTCCACATAATTAGCATAATAATTTTCATTAAAATGTGTAACGAAACTTCAGAAAGTTGAAAAGTTGCAGTGGTTTATTAAAGTTTGTGAAATGTGGGGGCTGGGGGTTTAGCTCAGCGGCATAAGAGCCTGCCTTGCAAGCAGGCAGTCGTGAGTTCGATCCCTGGTACCGATAAAAATGAAAAAAAGACAAAAAAAAAAAAAAAGTTTGTGAAAAGTGTCTGAGGAAACACTGCAAGATCCATGCTAATTTTGTTTCACTCATCAACAAGCTCATATAGATGGTAGCAAAGAATTGCAAAGCATGTGTCACAGAATTGTAAAATGTGACATCTTCACAGTCAAAATGAAAAATTTTTATCCACTTAGTAAAGAATTTCATAAACCCTAAGTCTTCTGTGTTGCAAAAGGCATATGATCAAACATATTATAAAACATATAACTGAATAATCATAGATATGCAAGGTTCATTAAACTATTTGCAGATATGGTTTTTTACTTTATTGTTTTGTAATTGGCGTATCTTCTTGTACTTGAAGGTAGACCAAAGAATGATTGCCTAGTATACAGTCTAACGATTAAACAGAGCTTTCTTCCTCATTGCTATTACAGAGCAATAAAAAGAGAAGGCTGTAAGACCAGATCATACTGCATCTTCAGCTTAGAAATGGGATTTGCTTTATAAACAATTATGAAGGGATGACAAATGGTAGGCAGAATAAAATTTAATGTAAAGATTTTTTGCAATATTTTCTATGTATTTTGCATATTAAATCAGATAGGGATGACTGATGAGGCAATGTTTTATTAAATAAGCCATCATAAAGTATATTCATCATCAGAAAAAAAACTAACATAATGAAAAAATGATATAGTTTAGCTCATATAATTTATTTCAAGTGTTAAACAATGGAAAGAAATGTGAAAATGAAAAAAGTAACCAAGTAAGCATTCAGGAAGTCCTTGAAACAAAGCTGAGTGATGCCAAGAAATACAGTAAGAATATATGTATATACACTTAAATTACTCTTACAGATTATTTTAACCTTTGCCACGAATTTAAGATAAAATATCTCATAAAATTCACTATTTCACCAGGTGTGGTGACAAACACTTTTAATCCCAGCACTCAGGAGGTTGAGACAGGAGGACTGTTGTGAGTTTGAGATCAGCCTGGGTTACAAGGTGAGCTCAAGGACAGTCTAAACTGCATAGTGAGACCCTGTCTCAAAAAGACAAAAAATCACTATTTCATTTGCATAGAGACAAAAAGTAGACTGGGTGGCTAACAGGATAGTGAGTACAGGAAAGGAGTTATTTAGTAACTATGGAGTTTTAGTATTAAAAGAGGTGAAAAATTTTGAAAACTGGCTGCATAACAATATAACTACTTAACACTATATGGCAAATTTTATAATATGCATTTTATCAAATTTTAAAGGAGCAGAAATAAAATTGCATCAATATTTATAGAAATATAATTAGTAAAACTGAAACTGTTACAATTTAAAGAACTCCTTAGGCCCTAAAATTTTTAAATCAATTAAGCAGATTGCTTTTTTTTTTTTAAAGGAGGAAAAAAAATGTCCCAATTCCAGAAAAACTGCACAAAAAGGGATCAAAGCCAGGAAAACAAAAAAACTCTCGACATCAAGAGAATGACAAAAGGGCTGGGGATTTAGCTCAGCTTGGCATAAGCACCTGCCTTGCAAGCACAAGGTCTTGAGTTCGTACCCCGGCACCCATAAAAAAAAAAAAAAAAAAAAAGAGAATGACAAAGTACTAGTGATATTTCCTCTGAATGATGTAGTTAATAGGGAAGTTCAAACCTACAGAAGTCATACTGACGGTCAAGAGGGATATCATCGAAGTACTGAAAAAAGAAATCCAGTAAGGTTTTTTAAATTAATAAGAGGAATGTAGAGCCTATTCTTTTAGCAGTTGTGAGAAATTGAATACATTTTCTTTAGTCCACTGGAGAAAAGATTAAAACCTTGTACCCAGGCCTGAATAATACACTGTGAAAGATTTACAGTAGTGGTGATCCTATGACGTTATTTATTTTTCTTTTAAGACAGAAAGTATTAATGTATGAGATGCTTTTTTTCTAAACTAAAACTATATATTCAGGTTTAATTGCAGTGTTGACATTTCACTAATAATAATCAGATTTTGGGTTGCAGTTTGGGGATTGGTCTCAAAAAGGTTTACCATCACTGTTTTAGGAGAAGCAGCTCATGTAAAAATCCAAACAACAGTGCAGCTTCTGTCAAATGTTGATTAATTTTTTTGTGTGCCAGGAACAGAATTTACAACTCTTATTCTTAGGCAGGCGCTGTGCTGCTGAGCCATATTCCCGGCTTGATTAAACCTTTGTTTTATAAATTATACAGAAATTGGACCAGGGATATAGCTCAATGGCACAGTGCTTGCCTGGAAAGCACGAAGTCCTGAGTTTGATTCCCGATTTAAAAAAAAAAAAATTATACAAAAATGTTTGAAAAGAGAAATGGAGAAATTACTGGAAAAAATGTTAGAATTAGAAATCATTTTGTTGTGTAGAAAAGTAGGTTATTGCTTAATGAAACACATTATTTGGAATCTATATTTAGTTGGCAAAAAAGTTTTTAAAAATCAAACACACTGCTTTTATGTGCATAAACTAGAGCTTCACTTCCTAACAGAAGAATATTTCAAATATTAAAACCACAACACAGAATGCCTCGTTCTGTCTCCATGTGCTTCTGCCTATTGAGAGAAGAATTTATGCAGAAGCTCGTCCTTCACAGATGTTAATTATCAGAATAATGTAAGCTACATTGTTCTCACTTTCTTTTACACAGCAAATCCCAGTAGAAACTAAAGAATACAATAGACGTGGTGAAAGTTGTTTAGAATTTGTAAGTGGAACTAACAAAAGCTGATCATTAAAAGGGTTTAAACCAAATATAGCAGGAATTTTGTTTTATTCCATTCAATCATTTTTTTATAAACCCTCAAAACCATATAGCTTGGAAGACTGATATGACACATTTTGATTTTACAGTTATTAAAAATGATCAATTAAAATTTATTTTCTTAAGTTCCTTGCAGTAAAACCTATCTATCTATGTATCTGTCTGTCTGTCTGTCTGTCTATCTATCTATCCAGCCTCTTTCTGATGTTACAACACGCTCAACACCTGGTTCCCAGAACACAAGATTGCGCAGTGGCCTGGTCACATTGGCCAGGGCTCACCATTACAGCAGCAGAGGTCTCCCTCAACCTCCTCCAAAACTGGCCTTACTTGCTTGTGCCTCATCCCTAATTCTCCCTCACCCCTAATCCTCCCCCACCCCCACACCGGTACCCAGGCCGCACTTCACCTGACACATTTCATAATCCTCTCAGACTCCAGGCAGCAGTGCCGCCCACATTGGGTCTGATCATATAAAGAAAACCCTGCAGGCTCACTGGGAGCTACACGGGGTAACCTGGGGAATCCTCTCTTACTATGCTCACGGCTTCCCGCTCTCCTACTACCCAAGGTGCCCCAGCTACTCAGAAACCAGCCACATCCCCAGCAAACCACCCACACCTAGGCCCAACAGTTTGCACTAAAACCTATCTCCTAAGTATTGGGCACAAAGAAATAAACTTATCACAATGTTCTAATGCCCAGGAATATGGTTGCATGATATTCTTTTTTTTTAATATTCTTTTTTTAATTATATGATATTCTTATGATTTCATCACATTCTACAATCTAGGCACTGCTGGGGCCAGGATTTAGATGCTGTATTTATGATATGCAGAACCCTGCATATCATAAATGCTTGTTAAATACTTTTTGAATGAAATATTTAATAAAATAACAAGTACCTATAAATATAAAGCAGTATCAATTTTCATTAAGAGCCATTTTAAATCTAATAGTGTGTCAAACTGAAACACATTAAACAGCCATTTACCCTGCTTCTCTCTCTTAGTCTTTAAACTCTGGCTGCCCTTCACTTTGCCCCAATACATACTACCGAAAGGATTCAAGTGGACATAACTACAACCATCTATGATGGTCTCTTTGTCAGTTTTCCTGACATTGTTTCTCTGCATATTATAATTAAACAAAACTTTTGGATGGGTAGGTAGAGTTTTACAATCCAGACTCTGCCACCATCACTATTAGGAATGTGCCTGATGTCCTTGATACTGGTTAAAAGATAAATCAAGAGGCTGGAGATTTAGCTCAGTGGCCTAAGTGCCTGCCCTGCAAGTGCACCGTCTTGAGTTTGATCCCCAGTAGCAAACAAAAAAAAAAAAGATAAACTAAGTACATTTTGGTTTGGATGAAGTTACTTTTATCCTGACCATTTTGTAAGTCCTTTACTTCAAAGTAGATTCAAATTATGGAGAGTCACTGACCTTGCTGCCAACCAGGACCAAGTTTCCGTTGGTAAGTCCCCAACAAGGCATAGACTGTGCACAGGGATCTGTCTTTCTTCAGGCAAGGACTTTGGTAACATGTTTTGCAAGAACTCCTGTCATTGGAGTTGTACTGTTTTAAGTTTGAAAACAGTACAGTATTTACTTTGGGAAGATTACAACAAGTAATCCTCATGAGATAAGTACAGAAAAGATGACTTATAATAGTAAAGAAAAGAGGGTAAACTAAAGTAGATTAAAAATAAGACAGAAGCGATCATTGAAACTAGTGACAGTGTTAAAGGTGCTCAATAAAGGTTTTATTGTTATTGGAACTGGGAATCAAACTCAGGACCTTACATTTGCCAGGCAATATATTTTTTAATTCTATCTCATTTTTACCCTTTTTTCTTTTCAAACTAAAAAATAAGTTTTTTGAATAAATTAAAGAAAAAATAAAAAGAATGAAAATAAGTACATTGGAAGTAAAGAAAGTGCTAAGATGTACATAGAAGGGATGGCTTAGGGTATTTCATTCCCCTCGTCCTACTGTATCACCTTCAGTTGCCCCCCCCATCAAAGCCTCCAAATAATATGTGTATGATAAATAAAAAAAATCAATGTAAGATTTGTTCTTCTACTTCATGCAATTACATATTATCCTTCCTGTCTAAAAACTTTGGAGCATCTGTTGCATGTGATACAGAGACCAAAAGGCAAAAATGCCTTTCTTATTCCATTGTTTGACTGACACAGGCATGGTGTTGACTTCTGTAGAAATATCATTATGCCTCCAAGGATAGATGATAAAGATGGGTAACTTTTTCTTTCTTTTCTTTTCTTTTCTTTTTTTGTCTTTTTAAGACAGAGTCTTGCTATGCAGTTCAGGCTGGCTTTGAGCTCACTTTGTAGCCCAGGTTGGTCTAAAATTCATGATGATCCTCTTGCCTGAGTCTCCTGAGTCCTGGAATTACAGGTGTGCACCACCACACTCAATTAGATGGGTACCATCATATAGATACTATTCAAAGATGAAAGTTCTGATATGTTACAGCACACCCCAAGGAGGAACCAGATTAAAAGCTAAGGAAAACAACACTTCTGGTAGTGTTTTGTTTTGTTTTGTTTTGTACTGAAAAATCAAACTCAGGACCTTGTACTTGCCAAGCAAGTACTTGTGCTGCTGAACTTTATCCCAGGCCCATCAAAGCCAGTTTTGGAGGACCTATGAGATCCTAAAATCAGGGAAGCCAGTATGATAGGAGTTGAGGAATGAATGGAACTGGCTTCTGCTTAATACCTCTACAGAGACACTAGCTCCCTCCATTGTCTTTAATCTTCTATGCTACACAGATTCTTCAAGGTCTTATTTAAATGAATAAGAATTTTTTAAAAATGTAATTGAATCTAAGTTCCAAAATAGGGCTTAAGTGATAATAGGTTCAGGACATGTCACCCTCCAAAAGGCTACAACCTGAAAAACAGGAGTCTCTGATCTACCACAACTTTCTTCCATGAAGTTTCTACCAAACTTTCTTCATGTGAGAGATGCCCTTTCTGTTCCTGTATCTCTTAAGAAAGGGACCATCCTTATACTAAAGATAAAAGGTTACAGAGAAGATGCTGAATACTCAGGGCTTGGTCCCCACTACCTACTCTCTGTGTTACTGAGGATTCAGCCCCAAGTGCACCAAGCTACATATTCAGCCCTTTTTAACATTAATTTGTTGCAGTGTCTAAGTTACCTAGGCTGGTCTCAAACTTGTGATCCTCCTTCCTCAGGCTCCTGAGTAGCTGGAATTACAGGTATGCACCACTGTGTCTAGCCAATTTCTCCCTTTTTACTCTTAGATCACATCCCTGTATCTAATCATTTTTATCGATGAGTGTACACTTCTCATCAAAATTACTATTAAAAATCTATCAGGACTAATTGTTTCTTCAGATCTTCATTGCCTTATAAAGACCTTTATGTCACATAAAATTTATTTGAAATAAGTTCGTATGTGTTTTCCTTGTCAATTTACCTTTTGTTCTAGTAACTCCATGATCACTCTAGGATGGATGAGGAAAAACTATTTTTTCTTCTGGGAAATAACATGGACTTTCTATTTGTCAGAATCTCTACTTTATCATATTTTCTTTGTAAGGCATGTTAATTTACATATTTAAATACTCTTTAAATATTTCATTGCTCTTTCAATAGAAAAAGTAATTTTAACATAGTTACATTACATTTGTTACAAAATTTGTTAGATTTACATTAAGACACAGATGAACATTTATGCTATTAAGGTAATTTTTATAAAGCAAAATAATTACAAAAATATGAACACTAGCTAATTACACAAAATGTAGATTTCTAACATAATAATTTTTATATTCAATTGATTTCTCAAGCATTTTCCTACCAATTTTATGGCTGATAGTAGGGTAGGTAGATTTTTAGTTTTCAAATGCAGGAAATTTTGCACTATATTAAACTGTTTTTTACTTGATTCTTATGAAACTAATTGTACACACTGCTCAAAGATGTCACCAATGCCTTTCATAGCAATTAATAAATTGCAACCATCCAAAATGTGTGATGGATGAAGAAATGTTCATAATGAACAAAGGAAGAGGGACATGTATTTAAAATTCAGATTCAACTAGATGTGATGACACATGCTTGTAATTCCAGCACTCAGGAGGATGAGGCAGCAGAATCATTCAAATTTAAAATCAGCCTGGGCTACAAAGTGAATTTAAGGCTAGCCTGAATTATACAATGAGACCCTGTCTCATAAAGACTAAATAAGAGCCAGGTGTGATGGCTCATGCCTGTAATCCCAGCACTCGGGAGGCTCAGGTAAGAAGATCACTGTGAGTTTGAGACCAGCCTAGGCTACAAAGTGAGCTCGAGGCCAGCCTGGACTACATAGAGGGACCCTGTCTCAAAAAGACAAAAAAAAAAAAAAAAAAAAAAAAAAAAAAAAGGCTGTGCTGCCCAGGGCATAGGAGATGATTTCCAACACACCCAGAGGAAACCTTGGAACATCACTTGAAACATGGAAATATGGGAAAATGGCAAAATGAAAGACCAAAATGCAATCTCAAACCTCCAGCCCATCCCAAGAAAGCCTAGGAGCCATGTACATAGAAGAAAACATATGCCATACCTTAAATACCTGAAATAATAGCAATTGAAATAAAGAAGCAACTCTGGGAAACTTTAAAGGAATTCATACTAGAAATAATCTCCCAGGTAAAAGAAGAAATGATAAAAGTAATGAAGGAGATGCTGAACACATCTAAAGAAGACACAATTAAAAGATTAGAGGAACAAAACAAAAAGATAGAATCCCTGGATGAATAATATAAGCAACAAACAGAATACATGAAGCAGATTCAAAGAGATATACAGGAAATCAAAAATTCCATTGAAAATTGTCAAAACCGCCTCAACAAAAGCAAAGATAGAATTTCAGACCTCAAAGACAAGATTTCAGCTACTGAATAGGAAAGGAAAGATCTTTTAAAAATAACAAGGAATCAGGAAATAACAATACAACAGCTACAAGATGATTCAAAGAAAAACAACATAAGATTGATAGGGATAAATGAAGAAGAAAGGGACAACACAAATGATATCAAGAGGCTATTTACAGATGTAATAGCTGAAAATTTCCCAAACATGATAATGGAAACTGACATTAAGATTAGTGATGCATATAGAACTCCAAAAAGCCATAAACAAAATAAAACTACACCTAGACATACAATAATCACAATCCCAGAAACCCAACATAAGAACAGAATATTAAAGCTGTTGGAAAGAAAAGACAGACCACCTATAAAGGAAAACCTATCAGAATCACAGCAGACTTCTCAACACAAACAATGAAGTCAAGAAGAGCATGGAGTGAAGTATTTCAGATCCTAAAGGAAAATGATTTCCAACCTAGACTGATGTACCCTGGAAAACTATCCTTCAAAATGGAGAAATAAGATACTTCCATGACAAAGAACAGCTAAAGAACTTCATGATAACCGCGCCAACCCTACAAAGAATACTGAAAGACAGTTTAGATACACA